CCGCCGATCAACGGCTCTAGCGACGACGCTTACCCCCCCGACGACGCACGCTCGTTTCCTGTCTGCGCTGTGCGCGCTGCCAACCGTATTCCATCGAATCCAGTCGAATCGAATCGACATACGATTTCATCGAACCGAAATCTCGTTGTTTCTTCCGACAGCGCAAGTTCGTTTCTTTTCCTCCCTCCGTTGTCTCCGACGACCGGCTACACGGTCGGAGAAAGACAGCGAAAGCGAAAGCGACGCGCGGGTATCTCCGCATCGTCCACGACAGACTACGGATAGCAAGTAGAATGTTTCGCGATTCGAGAACGAAGGAAGGAGACTGACGATCGCGAACGAAACGAAAGCGAAAAGCTCGGCTGGACCGCGCCTGCGATCCACACTCTTGGCCTCCGTTTCCGAGCGAGTTACGCTTCGCTTCGCTTTGCCTGGCTACCTCGGTGAGTAACCTCGATCCGTGTACCTCTGTGTCTTTCCTTGCCCGAAAAGCGTACGAATATTTCTCGAGGCCCACCTTGACTTCCTCGCGGCGAGCTCGTTTGGCTGATCGTCACGCAGAAGCCACGCCAACACGCGTGCCAAACGAGAAGCAGCGTAGCTTTTCACGGAAACGACCCGACCGCTCTTTCGCTTTCCGTCTCTTTTCATCGTCGGATCGTCGAGGCCGACTCCGCAATTCGCACTCCGTCGGCAATCGCATTATCCGCATTAATTGCGAACGACGGAATCGAATCAAATTTTGCGAATCGGTGAATTTCTTCGGCAACCGATACACTGACTAAAGGACCGTGTGCCAATATACGGATTATACGGAGGTAAATAACGAAAGAAGTAAAACAAAGGACGCGAGGATCGAATCGTCGAAGAATCGTGGCGGGTCGGAACGGAACACGTGCCCGTAGAAAATCGCAGGCGAGCTCGCGCGCTCACGCGTAGTCTTTCTCGTTCTCGATATTCGATCGTGGTGCGTTTCGATATTTTTAGCGGGCACGTAGACCCGCCGCGTGGGCAGACCAGCTTCAGGGCTGATGTCCTAATGACTTCCATTTCCCCTTTTTCTCTCTTTCTGCGCTTCCTGGCCGAATCGGTGGTCGATCGGCGACGTTTTTCGATCGAACGAGAACAGAGTTCGCGAAACGGAGTTCGCGACGACGAAAAACACGGCCGGAGATCGCGATCGATTCGACGATCGGATCGCGCGACGCGAACGAGCGTTCGCCGCTGTGCGATTTCGATGCAGCGCTAGTAGGAACGATGTAGCCAGGTCATGATAATTTTTACCTCTTATTTATAGACCGAGTCTAAAATATCTTCTGTCAACGCGCGAAGTCTGAAAGAACGCGAGATAAATTCGACCGAGCAATTAGAAATAAACGCGCGCGGCCGATCGCACAGCCGATTCGCGCGGCTTCGCGCTGTCGTATCTTCCAAATCCGACTCGCTCTCTTCTCCTTTTTTCCTTCTTTCTTCGATTTCCTTCTCTCCTCTTTGCCAAGCGGTCTGCTTCTCGCTTTTCGGCGAAATTTTTCGAGTCGGCAAACCTGCTAAAGCGGAACTATTCGCGCGAACCAGAGGGTCGACGCGCGAAGGCGCCGTTTGGCAACGATCGGTCGAAAAATTTGCCAACTTTGATTTTCTTCCCGCGACCTCGAAACGTCGACGATAAACCGTACGAGCACGCGCGCCTCCTTCTAGTTCCTTGTTACGTCTCTCTTCCGATCCTATCTATCGCCTCTTTCATCTATTTCAAATCGGTGCTACGGATTACGAATCTTCGTGCACCGCTGCGCCTCTTCCATCTCGTTCTCGTCTCTTCGGGCTACTCGTCGCCTCTCTCCCCGCTCCTCTCTGCTCTTTTTCCCCAAACTTTCGAAATTTCGTGCGCGATCCGCCACAGTTTCGAATCCGTTGCAAACGCGTTAGCCGTTATACGCTCGTTTTCCCGATATCGTTTCACCGTTAACAGCCGTTCGCGCTCGCTTTCAGTTCGTCGACACTCGCAACGAACGACCATAGAGAAAGCAGCGCGAAAGTGCTTCTCGAAACTGTTCGATATACGTAGAATGTTTATCGGGCCAGAGGATGTCGTTCGAACGTGACGTCATCCGGTGGCTTGTATGGCATCTTGTGATTCACGTATTATTATTAAAACCCTTATTATTCCATCGCGCGACTCGCATTGCATATATGAATGAATCTCTGTACGTTGGTCGTGGGTGATTGTACGCGTGGATCGCAATTTCTCGCGACAAAAGTTTGAGTCACCAAGAATTAATAGACTACTCGGTGAATTTCATTCGCGACCATCTGGATCTATGCTATTTCTGCCCCCGTAAATCTTTCGTGGTATTACGTTAAAGCCGTATTAACGAGGAAAAGAAAATTAACAAGAGAAGAAAGAAAGAAAGAAAGAAAGAAAGAAAGAAAGAAAGAAAAAGAGGGCAGAGCCGATGTAGGGAAACGACAAAGCGTCGATAGACAGCGTTCGAAGGAACGTCGAATAAAACGTCGCGAGAAGACAGAGTTACCGTATGTTCTCCGACAAATTGCTAAGGTCAGGATCGAAATCGAATTCCGCGAGTCCGAGTGTATACGGTGAAACTCGATGTAAATATTGTCGGTAAGAACGGGACGGTAATAGGCGATAGAATGGGTAAATTCATTTCCCGATGTGGGTAATAAGACGTATCGATTGACGCGAGAATCGTTCTATCAATTGGGTTAAATAAAATGTATGTCACTGTGTGCGTACATGTATTTGTGCATCGTATGCAACTAAAGCGCGTAGCGCGGTATGTAGGTTCCTGCCGATAAAAATAGCATTCTGATATTTCGAAGAGTTCTTTAGGAACATCCGTTAATTATTTCGATCGTTATCGTTCGCTATATAAACGTAAAAGGAAACACCGAGTGGACGTCATTCCGAGATAATACAGTAATGAAAACGAGAGTGACGTCGACGTCGTGTACGACGATCACGACCACAACCGCGACCACGACCACGATCACGATCACGGCGACGACCACGACGACGACCACGATGACGACCACCACGACGACCTCGACGACGACCACGACGACGACCACGACGACCACGTAGAGGAGGACAACGACGATGACAACGGGCTTTCCTTCTTCGTTATTGAGTAATCGAAAACGCCCACGATAGAAAATCGACGCTTGTTCGTAACGTTTCTTTATTCAGGATTAATCGGGATAGACGTTCCTTCTTCACACTCATATTCGTCGATGGAACGAACGAACGCTCTGAATGAGAATCGACACTCGGGTAGAGTCTAAAAATAGCGAGAATTTGTACCTTACAGTGAACTCTGGAGCCAAATTATCCTCTTTTGCGGCTGCTTTACGCTCCCGGGCAACTATACGAAAGTTACACTATTTACACTGTTATTATCGTCTTTGCGGTGACTCCGATCACTAAGTCTCTACGACTTTTGAATTTTTCTGAGAGATCGTACACGTTCCTCGTTTCCATTTCATTTTACCAGACATTTTTCGCGTGACGATATCGCACACAGTTCATGCGCTGCCACCATCTTTATTTACTAATTTTGGACTTGAACACTGAGAACAGGGAATGGATAGATTATAGTGATACCAGCGCCATCCTTCGACGTCATTTTCTACATTGCGAGTGTATGCGTTTTAAAAGAGTTTCGTACGATTTCGCTAATTTCGTCGCGATTGCATTTCGCCGATGCGATCACCGCTATAGAAAAAAACATCGTTCGCTATATATTAACGACATTTTTTATATAATGCGACACGATTCTTTATTATACGCAAACCGCGCTCCGCTTTCCAACTTCCTTTTCTTTATAGGATATAATCTTTATTTTATGATAGAATCATAGATCATTCTATGGATGTAATGGTCACAGTATGCGTGAAATGTCGTCAGAATCAGAATTATCGAAACTAGCACTTGTTAAAGTTACTTGATATGATTTTTCGAGAAAACGGATTTTTATACCATATTCGCGGCTAGATCGGTATGTAATACGGTATGTAGGTGGCTACTTATTGTTGGTGTGTTCGCATGATACAATAGGGATACAAAATTTGCAAATTGTAGGTTACGTTCACGAACATATGTACGTAGGTTACGTTCAATGTAGTTCCACTTTTGTATATTTGTTTCGTGCTATCGAATAATTTTATACGAAGGGAGAAGAGTAAGTGCTTATAATTAACGGCATGGATACTACGGAAGATTGCAGTGGCAAATGCCAAGCGTTAGAAAATGAGAATGAACAAGTTGACCAATTAATACCTGGATATGAGAATTTTCACGATTACGTTCAGGTATAGTTACACTTGTTGAACTGTTTAATTTGAAAAATTTGTCCCTTCTTTTATTCTTATGTACCAAATGATCGTTATATTCTAGGAAGCATTCGATGCCATAAAACTTGGGATTAAATGTGCTAATAGTTTACCAACTGGATCAAATTTCAATTATTACTCGTGTTTTCCCAGTTTTCTCAAAGCCAAGGAGGAAAATACAAAGTTGATAATGGACGTTATGCAGCATTTATTGGGGTTAGCTGGCATAAAGGGCAATATATCGAATCTTGATATCGAAGAGAAGTTTGATCTTCTATTAGAAACGAACGACATGCTTTTGGACCGAGCCGTAAGTTTTTCAAAAGATATTCTTTCTATGTTTTTCTATGCTTAAATTTTTATTTTTACGAATCCAAAACGTGCTGTGTATCGCAGAATGCCTTAATGGACAAAGAATGTGGCATCGCTAAGAATACCGAAGTAGAATTGCTGGTGTCGAGCGCAAAGGATCAACCAGATGGAATTAACGGTTCGTGGAACAAAAAAGTTTATCGATCCCAAGACACAGAGAATATTCAATCTGTTCGTTTATTAGCTGCTAAAAATATTCAAAGGCCGCAGCTAACGTTCAAAGACAAAATTGACAATAGCTCTAAACCCTGGTGTCCTAGAATTAAAGACAAACCCAATTCTTTGAAACCTTTGGCTATTTATTTGGAAGAAGGTGAAAATGGCGAAATCTTTAGTCATCCTTACGAATACGAGCTGGATATGTTCGTCCCTCCTAATGATCAGTTGAAAAAATCGGTACCAAAAAAGTATAAACCCCTGGAAGAAACGCTATTGGTAATGATCAAAGATCCGTCGGATATAAAGTTACTGATAGAAGATCTAAAAAGGTACAAAGAAATTGCTGTAGATTTGGAACATCATTCGTACAGAAGCTTTCAAGGAATCACCTGTTTGATGCAGATCTCAACGGGAGATACAGATTACCTGATAGATACTCTGTCGTTACGATCCGAATTACACGAGCTAAATGAAATTTTTACCAAGTCTACGATACTAAAAGTTTTTCACGGAGCGGATTTAGACATTCAGTGGCTTCAGAGAGACTTATCTCTGTACGTAGTGAATATGTTTGATACGCATCAAGCGGCGAAACAACTTAACATGCCGTACTTAAGTTTAGCATATTTGCTAAAACATTACTGTAATGTAGATCCTGATAAACATTTTCAAATGGCAGATTGGCGCATAAGACCTTTACCAGAGAAACTTATGAAATATGCCAGGGAGGATACGCATTATTTATTGTACATAAAGGATTTATTAAGGAACGCTTTAATAGACGTTGCTAATGGACAAATCAATATTTTGAAAGCTGTATACGACAGAAGTACAGAGATTTGTAAAAAGACTTATATAAAACCAGTATGGACGGAGGAAAGTTGCATGATTATGTATAGAAAGAGCCAGAAAATGTTTAATAATAAACAGCTTTATGCTCTAAAAGAATTGCATAAATGGAGAGATCAAACTGCCAGAGGGGAAGATGATAGTATTGCTTACGTATTGCCAAATCATATGTTACTGAACATAGCTGAAACATTACCTCGTGAAATGCAAGGAATTTTGGCATGCTGCGACTCTATTCCTCCTTTGGTTAGACAGAATTTATTAAAATTACATAAAATAATATTGAAGGCTAGGGAACAGCCGCTTATCAAGCCAATCATTGAAGATGATATCAGGCAAAGATTGACGCAAAGAAATCCTGTTAACAGTTCAAAAATGTGGATGTATTCACCTCACGATATTCCCAGTGATATGGAAGCACGAGCTGACTTACCATGCTTGTTAGATGGAAACAACATAATAGAAGAGCAAATTTCGAATATGGCGATGAAGCATGCGGTGACTGTGTTTGACAGCCCAACTACGTCTGAGGTAGCGTACGAATAATAAAATTAATTATCTTGTATAAAAATTAAGAAAGATCGACAGTTGTAGTTTTCGTGGTTGTTTGCTTGTTTACAGAATGAGGAAGCAGAAATGGACGAGCAGGAAAGTAATAGAAAAAAAAGGTTTCCCTTCGTAAGTCCGTTTGAACGATACAAACGGGTTATACCTATGATAGCGGAACAAGAAGCACAGGAAAGAGAAAAGCTAAGACAAGAAGAAGAAAATCGTTTGAACGAACTAAAAATGAAAGAAGATGAAATGGCAGAGAGTAAAAACAGAGTTCACAAACATTTTAAACGTGTTTCTCAAATGGTGTCAGAAGGAAGTGCGTCAGATTTACCAAAAAAACCATCTCAAACTCCACTGAGTCAAATGTCGGGTCGTAAAAGAAAACGAGATTCAAATATTAACAAACAAGATGAAGTACATGATAAAAAAATTAAAGATGATTTATCAAACCCAACTCCGATGTTAGAAACCAAAACTACTCAATATGTAAAACAAGAATCAGATGAAATTGAACGTTTAAGCGAAGAGCAAAATGTACCGGAAAGTATTACAAAAAATCGGAAACAAGCATCGAGTAATGAAACTGTTAATCCGTTACGGTAGGTATATTAAAAAATTTGTTATTTTATTAGTGGTCGTATTACTCAGTTCTATGTTTTAAGCTAAGCATCTTGAAATTTTAATATCATAACGTTTATGAATGCTTAAAATATATGAAATTTCGTAAGGTAAGAATTATTGATAAATTGAATGTGTTTATAGCACAAGAAAAAAAGGAGAAAAGGACGGTATAATTAAGGAGTTGAAAAAGAAAGGTATGATGCCATCAAAAACATTCGACTATAAAGTCGTAGATTTTAGTACTTTTCAAGGAGGTAGTACAAACGTATCCAACCAAGTAAACTTTGAACAAACAGTGGTAAGGAAATGTATATCGTTCATTTCGTGCATTTATATTCAAATATTAACGTTTTATTTTGTTGTTTTTTTCCAGAAGAGAAAAAAAGAAAAAACACGAAAAAGGAAGAAGCAAAAATTGAATATATAAATTGCAATATTTTTTAGAACGTATTATCTTATCATTCTTGACACTAATGAAAATAGCAAATAGCGCAATGCTGCGTGATTCGTTGGATCATGTACAGATGATATGTAATAAATGATGGTGTTTATAGATGCTACGCTTCTAAATAATAGTTTAAGAAGGCACGAATTAAATACTTCTTTTAAATAGGGGTGTATTTAAAATTTAATATATTTTTATTTTTAACGAAATTATAAAAATTAGTTTGTTACATCTTCACATTAATGTCTCTCCTTCGTATTAATACTTTCAATGTTATGAGAATATTATAAACTTGAGGATTTTTTTAAATCTTTATTATTTTAATGTATCGAAGAATTATTAGTAAAAAAAAAAAAGGCGCTTTATTATACTGACACCGGAAATAAAAATAAGAAGGATTAGTTTATTATTAAATTGATTGAAATATAACGTCTATAATGTCGAAAAGACGTAAGGATGTTTTTACAATTATGTACTCCGAAGTGTTAGTTTACTTGAAATTAGCAATGTAATCTACGTTATCGTTAGGTCATGACTTCAATTTTTTTGGTTGTATACAGACGTATATACGTAGATATATAGACATGTTCCATTACGATCAGAAATTCAGTAATGAAAATGATGTGGATTGCACTACTGCTCATCAGATTGCCTGCGATTTCTGCCATGCAGGATCACATTTTGGAAGAAAATGTAAAAATAGATACAAGTGGAGATCGTATTGATAACAATTTATCGAATTTTCGTAATAGCAATTTGACAGCTTTCATTTATACACTCTCGAATTCCTCGAGTTTTATCGACTATCGAAAAAATTCCCAGTCAGATCAAGTGGATTGTTTTGGTTTAGGAAAAAGAGTAGCTGCGATTTTAGAATGGTTTTTTATGAGTAATTCAAGTGGAAATGCTTTGGATGTTCAATTTTTACTTTCTTCGAGAAAACAACCACGACGCGTTCAGGTACTTATCGGTAAACAATTTGGCTTGGAGTGGACAGACTTTCAAATCGAACGAAGGACGATCGTAATAGTTCACGGATTCTTATCGCATGGTCAACAATCGTGGATCAATGAAATGGAAAAAGCATTTCTTCAATGGGTAGATTACAATTTTTCTTTTTTTCTTTCTTTTCCATACACGTTGAAGTACATTTTAAAAGACGAACGGAATCTTTCCCCTTAGAAAGTAATTGATGTTGTAATACATGTTAGCAACGTTAGTTTTCT